AGCAACAATTCAATAAGGCAGTGTCTCAAGCATATGGCTTACTAAGATTCATTTATGTGAAATATTAATCCAATTTATTTAATTTTTTCCTACTGCAATATAGATGTTTGTTTCATCATTGAATGGCTTATTAGAGAGACTGGATGTAAGAGAAGATATCTATTATATTGGTCATACCAGTCGTTTTGTAGCTCATGAATTAGATATTTATTCCCCTGCAAGAAATAGACGGAAAGTAAGTAAACTTTGCAAAGTATGCTCTTATTCATCTTACCTTGTGACTAATGTTTTTCTGCATGAATGATAAATATTCATTTATCATGTTCTGTTAGCTTATCATGTTCTTTTTTAATTTGCCTATTCCTCATTTATTTCTCCAGTTCTGGCCATGAATTCATTGATTTTGATGTTCATTATCATGTTCTTTTTGTTTACTTATCTATATGATGTATTTTATCATCTTTATTTATAAGTATCTAAAGAAAGAGCATCAATAGTCTTTATTAATAGAACATTAGATTTATCATCATGTTCAACAAGTTGATTATGTTCTTTATTTATAGGTAGCTCAAGAAAGCGCATCAATAGTATTTATTGATAGAACATTAGATTTATCATTATGTTCAACTAGTTGATTATGTTCTTTATTTAAAGGTAGCTAAAGAAAGAGCATTAATAGTGTTTATTGATAGAACATTATCATGTTCAACAAGTTGATTATGTTCTTTCTTTATAGGCAGCTAAAGAAAGAGCATCAATAGTCTTTATTAATAGAACATTAGATTTATCATCATGTTCAACAAGTTGATTATGTTCTTTATTTATAGGTAGCTAAAGAAAGCGCATCAATAGTATTTATTGATAGAACATTAGATTTATCATCATGTTCAACTAGTTGATTATGTTCTGTTTTTATAGGTAGCTAAAGAAAGCGCATCAATAGTATTTATTGATAGAACATTAGATTTATCATTATGTTCAACTAGTTGATTATGTTCTTTATTTAAAGGTAGCTAAAGAAAGAGCATTAATAGTGTTTATTGATAGAACATTATCATGTTCAACAAGTTGATTATGTTCTTTATTTATAGGTAGCTAAAGAGAGGGCATTAATAGTGTTTATTGATAGAACATTATAATGTTCAACTAGTTGATTATGTTCTTTATTTATAGGTAGCTAAAGAAAGAGCATCAGTAGTATTTATTGATAGAACATTATCATGTTCAACTAGTTGATTATGTTCTGTTTTTATAGGTAGCTAAAGAAAGAGCATCAGTAGTATTTATTGATAGAACATTATCATGTTCAACTAGTTGATTATGTTCTGTTTTTATAGGTAGCTAAAGAAAGAGCATCAATAGTATTTATTGATAGAACATTAGATTTATCATCATGTTCAACTAGTCAATATGATTGTTTATTAGATGAGATAATGAACATACTACCACGTGTTCCTGGTCATCATAATGATGTTATGGTAGATATGTCCAGTTTGTGCTCTGTTCATGGGTAAGTAAATTCTGTTTCTTCAATTCTTAATTACATTTCAGTTTTCTTTCGAAATATGGGACATGTAATCAGTTACCCTTTTGTAGAGTTCACATGCTATTTGAGTAGTTTTAA